GAATGGTCTCTTAAGTCAGTTACAAAATACATACCTTGTTTCCTCTATACATCTTGCCAATTCGCATAAGGACAATTCTATTTTTCACGGACACGCCCACGGCTTGCAAATGTAAGAAACTCTCTTTATTGCCATAGTCAGCGTACACAACTTCTCCTTCTACCACCCCGTTAGGGGACTGAGCCAGGAAAATTGGGGTATCTTTACCTTTCTTTTCATCTTCACGTAAAATCTGTTGGAAAAATATTGAGCGTTTGGAATGTTATTAATGAGCGATAGGTGTTGAAAGTAACGATTTTGTTTAAATTAGTCTGTCAAGCGATAACGAAAAGTTAAAGTGGACAAGCGGCCAAAAAACAGTTGCCCTAAAACTGGAGATGAGCCTTTTCCTTTGGCCAATTTCCTTTCATCCACTCAACTTAGTCGTTAAGAATAAGAATGGACGACTCGAGAACTAGTTTCTGGTGACCTGAACTCTTAAGGTATGTTGACATTAGGGGCGGGGGCTCTCGGGTTACCTAGGTTAGACATACCTAGGTTATACGCATCTCATTTCACCTAGGAGGGATTTTCGATCGTCATGCGCGTTTTAATCTAGAGTAAATTTTTGTAAAGATTGGTTTCGAAGTCCACTTTGCTGATAAATTCGCATTAATTCGAAACAAAAGTGGTTTCCTTTCCTCCGTCTAACCTTGTCATTTACTGCCGACTTTCTGAGCCGCCCAACAACTCCACTAATTTTTCCCGTCTTTTCCTGACAGGGCGAAAATGATCGGATCCTAATGTATTTATTCCACAAGAAGAGAGTTATTATTTATTTAAAGGGGAGAAAAAAATAACGGTAGGTCTCTGCACCTTTCTCTCTCTGGTTGCTCCCATCATAAACGAAAAGCTACCAGTTACTATTGACGTTGCATTACTCACGCGTGAAATAATTCTAATTAGTTATTAACACGTTAACCCATAAGAATAACCAGCATCTCATTTCTTCTCACAGTGTTATTCCTGCATCAAATATTAAGATCATGAGAATAAAAGATATGAAAGATATGACAATTTAGAAGAAGCTCGGATTCTTCTTGCCAGTACCGCAGAAAATGTACGAAGAACAGTGTCGAAAATATGCATACTGATGTTATGGCTGATGGGTTAAGGGTGCATGGTACAAATAAAAAGAAGCTTGTCAAACCTTTTCTACGGACTTCGATTTAAAGATTACACGATCATTACGATGAATTTCCACTTTGCTCTCCCAGACTTTTCGCGGGGAATTCATGAGCACATTATACTTTGGCATTTTAACGTCATCAAAGCCATACTTCCGCCATTTCTCAGCTATGTAGCGCGCTAAATCGTTGTTGCGTTTTGAACCAGCAAAATGTGGCTCGCTGGAAAAATACCTGTATACAAAATAGAACAATGTTATGGTCCTGCTTAATTCAAAAGCAGTCCTTTTTCAATTTAGTAAACAGTGTCTTCTTGATTAAAGGCTGGAGTACAGTTAAACAGCGGCCTCATGTAGAAACTAGGGCAAAATTTAGTTGTAAACGTCGAGGGCGTTTAATCAACGCCTACGGAGTTTGATTGGGTTCCCTACTTTTAATTGAGGTCAAATTACCACTTTCTATTAAATAGTATTGCTGTGACCTACTGCTGCTTTAATTTGATGATTTTATCCATGAAAATGTTTAATGGAGAAATAATAATTCTGGAGAAGACCCAACGACAGTTTGTTGCAGCTGAACGGAATGAAAAATCTTGCTGCCTCGACTAATTACCCGCAGTCATAAGAGGATGTGTACTAAACAAAATAAGCTTAACATATGACAGAAAGTTGCGTTACGTTGGTAAACGCCAGGTCCTGGTTAAAACCCGGCTTGGTAGAAACGCTAGCTTCGTGGGGCTAAAAGAGTAATCTTGAGTTACTCACCTTGAATTTTTTTCAAGATTTTCCGCCTTAAATGAACGTAAAAGTTCTGTTTGAACGTCGTAGGCACTCCGCTTCTCATTTGAATTGATTTTTATTTCCGTTTCCAAGGATTTTGATAAAGAAGTTGAGTTTATGAAATATCCACCAAGGAAGGAAAGAAGAATCGCCACTATGACCAAAGAAAGCTTCAGTAACGGGTGTTTGAAGATAATATTTTGGGATGTATTTCTTCCCATGATCTTCGTCTTTCATCTCTTGTCAACTGAACAGTTGTACAGTAGAACCCGCAAAAATGAAATATTTCCTCGTACTTAGTACAGTAAAACCCGTAATTTTCACACCTTTCTATTTAGATTCAGGAAGCTGAATACAGTGAAACAGCTCCACTGTCTCCGTCATTGTTGTATTAGACAACAGGAATCTTGTTGACATCATTGTATACATTTTTATTCCTTAGCGTATATGTTTTCATGCAAAAGAAGTCGAAGTTATAGATTAAAATACAAACATGAAAGAGATTGTTTGTCAAATTTGACCGAGAGGCAAAGCCTGACAGGAAGATTTGACACTTAGAGGACAATCCCGGTCCACCATGGACATTATCAGCGGACATACCAGCAAGCCTGAAAGGAGTTTATTTATTTAAGAACCCTTTCATTAATTTTCAGCTCGCGCGTAAACCACTCCGTGTTGATCTAATGGTGCATGCATATTTACGACCAGCTTTTTCATGTCACCATTACTGGACTTTACAAAATGAGTGCGTTTTTCCTCTGTACTAAATAATGGCGATTAAAAGATGAGACTCTTGCGCTGGCATTCTTTAGCTGGCTTTGTTTCTTTCCGATGGAAATAACCGCTGGACGTAGAAAGGACTTAATGCGTGATGAGTGTCCAATGATTTTACACCTCGTAATGTAAAGTAGCCAATACATTTGCGCGAAAATGAATGGGTGGGTTATAATGTCCAATATCCCTCAAGAACAAATCCCACGTTGAAGTTTTATTTAATACCAGAAAGTGCAAAGGATCACAAAAATAGCAGAACAATCCGATCACGCCTTGATAGTAGTTACGATGTGTAACGTTGACTTCAACTGGTGCCTCTCGGCTTCACTGCCCAAAGTGAATTGCAATCATTAACTGCAGTGAGTGGGTTTTCTGAGCTGACATGCTGTAGTGGGAGATTGACAAGAGTTCGTGAATTAACTTGAGTATGATGCAGCATCGGTGTTGAGGGAGCTTTCCGACACAGGGTTAATATTATTCGAACTCCGCGACCGGCAGAAGCGAATGGCAGGTCACAAACTGAAAGCGACACTGCATCGGGTATATTACCATTTGCAAGTACACTTCAGTAAAACTTTTTTCCTTTAGTAAGATATTATCGATTGTTTTTGAACTGTAAACTACTGCTTGCTTGAGGCCGATAAACTCATCAACTCATCAACGCATCGCCTTCCTCTTGAAACCTCACTAAAACATTTTTGACCCTGATGAATACCTCCACAAGCGAATAAAGTGACATTTGACATGGCAATCGAGTTCAAAATAACATATATTTCGCCTCACCAGTAATGTTTTCACTAACGGCAGACAATAAGCGCAAAATATACCATATGTAACAACGCTGCCCTTGATACTGGGGACGAACCGACATCGATCCGGACATACATCGCAAATTCTCGTTTGAGACGCAATTGGTATTTGTAATTTTAATCTGTTCTCGAATGAACATTTCGTCTCACGATTCCATTTTTCTACTTTTCCTCAGTCGTTGGCGTAAGATATCCGAAGATTTCTTTTTTTGTGTTGAAAACACTATGATCTTCCTTTTAAGACTAATAGCAGCCGTCTCTATTTTAGTTTCTTACTTAAATTACTATTTACTTCTCTAACGCTTCTTTTTTCAGAAATGAACTCTTTTCGTTCAATGTAGGCGCAGTATTGCTTTGCATTTCCTTTCCTTATTCTCTAAGACAATTTCTGTACCGTATGTTAGCAAATTTAGAAACATATGTACCTTAAATAGACACGCAGAAACTGTCCTTAGAGTCTTAAAGTGATTGTAGTGACCACAATAAAAAAGGAAAACGTTCTAAAATAGACCTTTTTTTGTTCCCTTCGTTGACCGCTTCAGAGAGGTTATCTGCACTGATGCATTCAGCTGTGCAGCGCAATATATCGTTGCAACTTGAAAAAAGGGAAGAAAGATTTTCTTGCCTCAACACTTGAGCTAACACAAGCTTAAGAATGCCAGCTCTTCAATACACGAAATTATAAGATAAATGATTCACTTTTTAGAATTTCTTTTTGGTTTAAATGGGTATAAGCGATAACACTATTGATCAATTAACTGTTTAGGTCTAATTCCTTGAAAAAGACCAAAGATCACTGCAATTATCTTGTAGGGACGCAAATTTTTCAATAGCAAATGCTACAAGACAAACATACTTAATTGCCGAGTTAAAGTCCATTGCTTAAGATGGCTTTCCTCATTGTTGGGCGAAAACTGCGCCGCTAAAATTCTATCTCACTGCCAGTTTGTCAGCGCGTCACTAAAATCTGGTAACTTGTTGACATACATAATCGATATTTCATGATGGAATAATCAACAAAATCTTCTCGCTAACGGCAAGAACAACTTTTTTCGCCGTTTGTAAATGAAAGTAAGATCTTTTTTGTTTCTATTTGAAGTTGACAGAAGTTCAATCAGATACGCATAGTTGTCTGAGGAATCTGTGCCTAGAATTGTCCTCTGACGTGGTCAATTGTTAGGCTTCGAACAAAGCACTTTCAATAGTTGTGATACCCGAACCGTTCTCAGGTGGTTGACTATCGCTTGATTTCTCCTCGTTGACAACTAACACCCAGTCCTTCTGCAATTTCTCTCTGTGATTAGGGGAGAATGCTGGCTCGGTATCTCTGTTCATTTTGTTGTTTCACGTGAATTCTCATCTCTTTTCTCCGTTCAGCTTCCCCCTTTATCCTTTGTATTCTCGTTTGTCGATCCAGCTCCCGATGTTTCAGCTGGTCTTCTCGGTCTATTCCCATTCTCCTCTCGGTCTCCAATCGATTGTGATGCGCTTCTACTCTCTTCTGTTCTCTGTCCTTCAGTCCACTCTGCACAAAAACGATGGAGACGTCTTATTAAAGTGAGTTAATGTTACAAGTTGGCGATCTATTACTCGACCTGTCATGTATGATCTAGAGTTAAAGTGGTCGGTGAGGGGAGGGGGCGGGCAAAGGCGAGAATTTCTTTTGCCCAAACTTCTCCACTCTCGTTCCTCTTAACTGTCGTTCACAAGTTTCATTTTCCTCTCCAGCCTTCCGCTGTCGTAAAAAATCAAAGATGGCAGCTTAAAATTTTCACAAAGAAAATACTGAGCACTCGTTCGCCAAAATTACGCGTACTCTGTAGGCTATACTAATCGGCCGAATTCGAGGTCCGTAGCTTTTAGTAAGGACCGATAAGGAGACTTAGGTAAGAAATCTTTTCTATCTCTAATATATTTGCAACGAGTTTGAGAAATATATACCTCTACGAATTTTTTCTCACAAATTAATAATTTCCTACACTTACCAGTCTTTGCGACTCTTGCTCTTGCGCTGCTCTTTCGTAACTGTTCTCCATTTCTTCATGTTGGGTTCTGCGTTCTTTCATGGCTTCTATCCTGGAGTGTTTCCATGTCTCGGCTTTTTCTTGTCTCTCTTGCTCCTTTTTGCAAACCTTTTCAGTTGACTGTTTCTTGTGCTCCATTCTCTGGCTTTCTTGGCGTGCTTTTTCTGCAGATTGCTCCGAAATTTGACGAGTTCGTTCGTCGACCTTTTTTCTGCAGTAGAATATGAGAAATTCAATAATTGTTTTATAAACTGAAGACAATTTAATTTCTCAGTATCATTCAGTGTTGCTTTACAGCGCTCTGTGATAGGAAACCGCGCGCAACCCACTCAAACAATCAGAAAACAAAACTACGAGCGACCGAAATTGGTGCACTCGCGTTTTACCGTTTGCTCATTCTTACCTAGGGTTTTTCTGAGGGTCATTGTAATATCATCCTTTTTCTGACTGGCAATTATTTCTAATTTGATTTTAAATTCATGACACAGAATCGAAATCCGCTCATTCCCGTATATTTTAGCACTGAATGCTGTATGCGCCCGGTAGAAGTAATTTACTTTGTTCAACTGGCATCTGAATCGATGGAAATGCTTTGTTCATTTCGTATTAAGCAATTTGAAAAAATAGACCGCTATAGTTTTTATCATTATCATTATTATACAAATAATATCTTAAACACGACTAAAAATCGTAATTACGAGGATTTAGTCTGTCAAAGTTTGTCATCAGCATTTCTTCAATTTACCCATCATCTAAAGACCTCTACAAAAACCAAACACTTATATCAGACACTTGAAACAACAAAAATCTTATAAAGGCTCTAACCTGTGATATTCTTGTCTGGCCTTTTCTTTCTGTTGTTTATCCACGGACTCTCTTGCTATTTGTGCGTGGTATCTCTCCTTGGCGTCTCTTTTGGTCTCCAGTCTTCTTCTCTCCTTTCTATTTTTCTCGATGTCTCCATGTCCCAAGCCATCCTCCCAATTAGAAGACCGCTGAACTGAGGAACTATTGTCTTCTGGTCGCCAGTTTCCATCGGAGCCGGTGTTGAACTTGTTGTCTTGGAGATAAGAAATAACAAGATAAAGTCAGATCAAAGTGCAGATCGTGAGGCGTGAGAAGACGTGATCAGAATTGAGGACGCTTGTTTTCAAAAATTCGTATATTTAATCTCGTGCTTGGTCTTCCTTTCATACACAAAACTGCGTTTTTATTTAAATGAAAATGAAACTTGAGAAAAGTGTAATCACTGACTATTTGGTTCAGAGTAATCGACCGAAAAGGAAGCTTTCCTCAAACAGTCAAGCAACCTCTGAAGTTACAGCAGGTTCACGTCGTTCACGCGTGCCCTACCATTCATCATGGGCCATGTTGTCTTTTCAACCCAAGTTACCTGTTGCCGATGGGAAAGGCACTCCTTTGGATGTCTGGTATTCGTGATGCTTGAGCAGTGGTGGACCGGATCTTACCAGGGCCTTACTGGTGTTTTTCCACTGATGGTGGGGATGCCACTCTCCATCTTGGAATTTTTTATCTGTAAAATAAATAGCAATAACTAATTAATACTCAATTGCAATGACCATAATTAGTTGGTGCGCATGAACGATTTACTATACACTACGTTGCTTCTGCATGCGCGAAGCGATTCCTAGATTGTAGGTAGGCTATATGCTTTTAACGCAAAATGATGTAAACTTAAATGCTCACCAGCAGCAAATAACCACTTTAAAGAAAACAAAGGAGTCATGTGCAAAATTGAACCCACGAAAATTTGTATTATCGTCTCGAAAGTCGCGAAATTGGATCTAAAAATTTCTCAAACGCTTTTGAAAGTTCCGGAACTCGAATTGATCCTCAAGTTTTCGAGAAGCTAGTGTCGAGAGATTATCGACTTATATTTGACCGGTACTGTAAGGGATTATATTTCCAATCAGAACTGAGCCGTGGAACTTTTAGTTGCGGAAAATCGAAGAGAACAGTGGATACAAAGTAAAGAATTGACTGAACTAGCCGGGAAGTTTTGATTAATTACTAAATTCTCTGTGTGGCCAGTCAGTTATGACTCGTAGTGAGCCCACATAAGAACGTGGACAAGCCTCTCCTTTCGTAACAAACAATCACCATTGACTAAATGGACGATTCGATTGATGCCTTGAGATTCTGTATTTCTGACGATGCCGTAGATCTGCGAAAGCTCAGAATAAATAAAAATAGAGAAGCTCAAGGCCTCATTCGAATCGTCCATTTAACGACATGCTACTGAAGGACAACTTCAAACAGTGACAGAATCACCAATGAGTTTCACATACTATGCCTACATATTTTCCAGCGATAGATTGTTAGTTCGAGATTTTTATAGCGTAGTAGTCAATGAGGGGTAAGCCTGAATCTATCATCGCGCATAGAAAACGAGACCGAAGCATTGAATGTATCTGGCAAAAAGCTACATGAACTCATCGCATGGGCTTCAGACTTGCAGATAATCACACTGTCTACAGGGCGAGTGGTGTAGCCGATAAGATTGACTCATTTGCGATAGCATGCTGGTAGATTTGTAGCATTAGTTATGGGCAACCACCACAATTACATCCTCGTCATGACTTCAACCCGAAAAAGTCACTACTGAACGTTACCTGTGCCGGGAGGGAAGGGGACACCTGCTACAGTCTGGTACTCCTGGTATATAGGACGCTGATTTTTATCATCCCGTACCTCGGGGGGCTTTGCCAGTGCTGTCTCTCGGAATCTTGGGGGTCGAGGAGGTACCCCAGAACTCCACCAACGCCAGCGTTTCTTAGTCTCTGGCTTTCCACCAGCTTTTGCTAGAGGAGTTCCCACAGGTATTACTGGATCTACATATCTTTTAAAATCTGTCGAATCAAAGAGTTGATGATTGGGTTAAAACATATCAAATTATAACACCAAAAGTCTCACTCCGTTAGAGTTTGGGCTTGTCAAGCAATAATCGGCACGCTTCACGCAGGAGGCTTTTAGTATCAGTAAAGCTGGTAACTTAAGCCATTCCTCGTAGTAGAGCGTATTTGTGCTGTGAGTTCTCTTTGGTTCCATAAAAAGTTTACTTTTGTCCTGCTCGTGATTGGCCCTAACCTCTTTAAAGACTTTCTTTTTTCCCTCTATATCAACTTCCAGAGCGGAAGGGAAAATACGAACGTGAACACTCTGCAGTCTCTAGAGCACGCGCTTTTATTTTAAAAAAAACCGATCGATTAGTTGCTGTGACTATTGCTCTAGCTTTTTCTCGACAACATTCGATTACAGAGCGCTCTATCTGTGCAATAAATCTTTCTTCGCTATTTTCAATTTTGAGGATGAAAATGTTTACCTCTTTTAATAAGACTAGTTTCAGTTGTTGTGACTGATATAAGCCTCGACAACAATGTCTTTCAGTAAACATAACAAATGAATTTTCACCTATATCTTCAGTTCCAACACAAACATCAAATGTTTCCGCATTTTTCAAAGTATCTTCTCTATCGTCATCTTCCACATTAGCTTCTTCTGCATCTGCATCAGACAGATTCCCGTCATCCTTTCCCTCCTCCTCGAACTTCACCCTTTCCAAAAGATGCCTGTTTCTCTCAAGCTGTGATTTTATTTTCTCACTGAGAGCGTCTTTTGAATCATGTTCAGACCAGGTCTGTTTTTGGTGCCGAAGGGGGCTGAATGGCCGCTGCCATGTGGTGTGAACTGGTGGGGGTCTTCCTTGGTACGGTGGGGTTGAGGTGTCAGCAGCAAGTCGTATTTTCCGCCGCTGGGACTCTGGAAGCTGAAGCTCAGTCACGATACGATCAAACACAGCTAGTGGTATTCGTACAGCCACACCTGGGGATAACTGCACTGTTTGGCCATTGTAAAAGGCTACAAGAATGTTACCTCCTTCATAACCTAGACAAGACAAAAAAAGGAGGAAAATGAAAGAGGCAATTAATAGTGGTTTAAGACATGCAAAGAGCTAACAAAAGTCAGAAGGATGCTTGCAATTAAGAGCCATTCTTGTTTTCATAAAGTATGCTCTACACTTGAAAATGATCTGGAAAGGGACACCCTCACTAAGGAGAATCTTAAAGTCTGTCGTGATGTTCTCTGTAAATAATACAAAAATAATTTTGAACTTAACCTAGAGATACCTTTTTAAAAAAGAATTTTACCTGCTCCCTATGACTTCTTTGAGAGGCAGGAGTGTGAGAGTACATGGAAAAGGTGGGTTTGACTTCAGCTTGCCAGAGTTATCAGAGCTAAATTTGTTTCTTATTTATATGCAGTAACATTCATGATCATCTATTAAATCGTTATTATCAACAACTAAATAGAGCAATATGGATGCAAGTAGTATTTCAAAATCAGAATGTCTTTCTTTAAGTTTGATAACCATTCAGTCCTCAAGAAATTAGTTCATGCTTTAATCATTAAAGTGACTGAAAGTTTGGCCCATTTCCTGTTCAGATTTACAGTCACTGGGAATATGATGAGGCACAAAGGATGTGATGTTCTTTTTAATACCTTGTGGTTGAAGATCCCTTCGATCCACTCCATCAAGAACAGTACCTGGTCCATATCGTCCATCATCCTGCCATGGAGCTAACACTTTATCTCCAATACACACATGGTGTCGTATGGCATCTTTATAAGCTATCATGTCATACAGAGCTGTCTCCTGAAGGTGTGACTTGCGAAGGGCAGGACACTTCTCAAACTCAACCACAAATGTGTTGTTTTCCCCCTTAATTGAATAATAAAATTTCGTTTATTTTGTGATTCTATTAGTTATAATTACATGATTGTAGATTGAAAAACTTAATCTGGAGTAATCAGTACTTTGATATTACTTTCTGTATGAAATTTTTCGCACCCGTGCATGGAGAGAAACACTCTTAAGAACAACAGCAATCTCATCCTCTCTTACAATGTATAACTCAGATCTGAACACTTGATTTGAATTTATGTTCTGTATCAGGCTTTGTGTATGGTAGATACCATACACAAAGGTTGACTTAATTGTTACCTGGCTCTTATACATCAACATAGAATTGTCAACTTCACTGCAGAAGCACATAATTTATTATTAATGCTAGAGGGCTGGGGACCTCTTCCTTGGAAACAGAAAAGGAGTAGGGCTTAATGCCTTGATTTGTAACCAATACATCTTTATATCACAACTACAAAGTTGGATGTACTCCCATAACAGAAAATATCTTTATCAGGCTACAATTAAACCTGAAGGTGGCCTTCATTTACCTGTTCTTTGACAGATGCCATGTAGAAAAGACCATCTGAATCTTTCCTCGCCAATACCTTCATTCCCTTCATTACACTGGCAGCTACTGGTACACTAGTGTTACCAATAGATTTATCACTATCTTTTGACAGCCCTCGTGATGCCAGCACTGCATCAGCATACTGCAGGACTTGTGATGTCCCTCTGTCCTGATCATACTTACTCCAAGAGACATATGGGATAGGGACACTTCCATGAGGTGCCTTGAGGAGAGTGACTGGAGTTCCTGGATCATATATTCTGGGAACAAACCCCGATGCAGGGGGTGCTGAGGTAGGACGGTGTGGGGTAGTGTTGGTACCTAACACTGAAGTGAGGTTGGGGGACAAGAATTCACCATCATAATGCCTCATGAATTCAGTCCTCTGATTGAAGATCGGTGTGACTCTCTGTATCCTACCATAAAGAGTGAGGCTTATGCAGTGAAAGGAACCCTTGGTGATTTTAGCCAGCTCTTCAAGGAATTCCTTTGCCGCTGGATCAGAGTGTGTTCCAGTAAGATATATCGCGTGTATTGGCCGACCTTTGTACAGGCGACGGACGTTTTCTATTATAACTGGAGGACTCTGATCGGGTAGGCCATCAGTGACTAAATAGATAGCATCCATTCCATCATCTTCATAAGCTTCGATCAAAGCTTCCATGGTGTTTGTTGATGTTCCGCATTTCAGTTCGTGGATCCATTCACTAACGACACTCACAGTCCTCGGAGTACATGTCACTAATCTGTCCGCCCATTTGTTTACCTCTTCGTTAAATTCAATGATGTTGAACATGGTATCTCTGTCAGAAATCGCCCGCGCGAACAGAACTTCGAGCAAGTGTTCTTTGACAACATCGAGACTATGGTACATGGAACCAGATGTGTCGAGAAGAAACACAACATTCTTTTCGTATACATTACCGAATATCGTTGGCCTTCCACGAAGAGGGGCAACTAGTTGGCCATAAGAAGGGCTTACCATTTTGTAAAGGAACGTTTGATCGCAATGTACAGAATCACACTCGAATACACTTATACATTTCAGCGCGTGCCAAGCATGTTATGTTGCCATGCAGTCGCCAAGGGACTAACGCAGATACCGCTGACATTCGCATCAAGACAAATTCCTACCAAGTGGGAGGTGTTGCCTACGATTGAACTACAATGTTGCCTTGAGTCGTGATTCAATCGCTTTTTAGATAAATTATAAACTACTCATAAAACCAAAAATTCAAACCGAAACACCGAAGTTCACTGGATAGATATGTTTTGAAGGCTGAGGACTTGATACTGTATGTTGTTGATACTATCCCTACCCCCGAAGGTGCCTAATGGTTCGCGCGTCCTTGGCGCGTTGCACGACTGCATTTGACAACAACGGTTAAAAGCGGAGGCGACGATAGAAGAAGGATTGGACATCATGCCCTTGAAGGTAATACTTAAACTTGATAAATCCTTGCTAAAATAGAATATAGAATACTTATATTTTTTAGAATACTTATTTTACACTTATCTCGGTCCAAATTTTGAATGTCACCTCTGTGGACTTTCTTACCATCAACATCAACGTCGAAGGAATTTTATTGCAGAGGCGACAAACCACAACGCACCAGTCGCCTTGAATTTAATTGAACTTCATTAAGATATTCATATCGAGAAGCGTACAAATATGCATCACTCAGTGCTTGAGTCATAAATGTCCACGAGTTCTATGGCCAAATATTTTCCATTGATCCTCGAGAGGAATCTCTGTGTTTATAACTTAGTTTTATCGTAAACACGTTAGGTGTAGGTTAGCTCGCTTAAATTTTCACATTTGTAAGGTTTTGAAGTGGAACGATTTCACTTTAGGACATGTTCACGTGGATGGATAATAGATACGCGTTCTATACGAGTTTAACGCGCATATTTTGTTCCCCTTATCCTAACTTTGAGCTGCACTTATAGGTCCACAACACATGTGGGACACAGTTACTTGTAATGGTGATAGAACTGATTGGAGCCAATTCACAATGATAATAGAACTGTGTGGAGTCCAATTCGGTTTGTAATCATACAAGTGATTAACAAAATTAGACGACTGCTAAGGGGGAGTCCGATTTGTTAATCACGAGTATGATTACAGACCGTATTGGACAACACAAAGTCCTGTTACCAATTAATCAAAACTGTGACAAAATTTGAGAAAAAAACTAGACATTGGGTATATGCTTAAATGAAAAAAATGAGCAACAGTTAACTCGGCAAAATGTGAGAAACAGCGCACACAAATGATGCATTCTGTCCACTTACACAGGCATGACATGTCAACTGTCCCTTAAACTTTTCTATTACACTGTCCAAGTATGATGTGTACACTCTCCTATTAGTGCTCAAATCAGGCTGGTGATAACTAATTGCATTAGAAAATTTTGTCATAGTTTTGATTAAGTCTGTAATCATATGGGTAATGAACAAAATAAATCAACCACTAAACAGAAGTCTGATTTGTTTATCATGATTATGATTACTGACAAAATTGGATGACACAAAATTGTTACCAATAAATCAAAGCTATAGCAATATGTAAGAAACAAACTGGTTACATGTTTTCATAACACTAAGAAACTAGCTACATGATTTCATAACACTAAGAAACTATTAATTCAGTGATATGCTCAAAACAGTCACGTACACAATTAACAGTTAACACGTCATGCCTGTGTAAGAGGAAAGAAGGCATCATTTTTGTGCACAGTTGTCTCACATTTTGCTGAGTTAATTGTTTTTTTTTATGGAAACAATCTATGTCTGGTTTCTTTCTCAAATTTGTCATAGTTTTGATTAATTGTTACAGGACTTCATGTTGTCTAATTCTGTCTGTAATCATACAATCATACTTGTGATTAACAAATTGGATTCCTACTTTGTGGTTGTAAGCATGATACATACACTGACCCAGTAGTGCTTAAATTAGGCTAGTGATAACCAGTCTTGTTCAAAAATTTTGTTATAGAATTGATTAAAAGGTGTATGCTAGGGTTAAATAACACAAATCTGGGATGATTCAGTGAGCCAGCCCAGTAAGTTGAACAATTTCATGTCCAGAGAGAGCTTTAACCCTTTAACTCCCAGATCAAATTTGTAAATTCTCCAAAATATCAACCATACAATTCTTATAATGTTAGTTCAGAGAAGTTAGTACTGGATCAACTTATTATCTCCAAATTCATATTTTTCTTTATTCTTATCACTTATCTGGTTAACTTTGTATTGATATTGTAAGGAGAAATTCTGTCTTGGTCACTCATGAGAGTTAAAGGGTTAAGGTTTGCCTGATTTTAATTTGCTGACAATGGCAAACTTGGCTAATGTGATTTGTGTGAAATTCAATACAAATCAGCACATGTATTAATTACATTCTTAAAGTTGCCTTAATTATTACAAAATAAAGTTAAAATGACTAACTAGGGTAATTTTTGCAGATATGTTTGCTAAAATAAGTGATACATTTGTCAGTTGTGGATTTGAAACTTGCTAATCAAGCCGCAAGTTTCAAGTTAAGTTTCAAGGGCTCAAAGCTTATTTGCCTCACCCAGTAACATGGCATTTGCATTAATTTTCCTTGCAGAATGAAGACAGCTGGCTTCACTGTACCATGTGTCGATCAGGGAGGCAAGGTGCATCCACTCTTAATAAAGCTTTGCAAAGAAAGGTGGAGTGGCCAAGTCAAACAAACACCTCATTTCACTCCTCACAGGTAGCCTAAAAAACAAATTTATGTACCATGTTTATTTGAATAAGTCCCCTTGGTGCCTCTTTAAGTTTTAGCCGTCAAGAGTGAATGCTTAATATGTGAGGTGGGTGCTTATTAGGGGCTGGGTGCTTGTTCAATTTTCACCATTTTCAGCAAGTGTATGTCAATAAGTACATGTTGTTACAGTAGTTAGAGTATTTTGCCACAAAACAATGAATAGTAACAAAATGGGAAGATGCACCATAATATAGACAGTGAAATTAGATATTGTAAGCCAGTAAAGAAGTAGTAATCAATACTCATCTTGTGCACTTCAGTTTTTTTGAGAGGGGAGGGTTGGGAGCTTATTCAAGGTGGGCACTTGTTTGAAGTTGGCCACTTTATTGAATGAGTACAATATACAAATATGAAGATACCTTTTTGCTTTTGAATACTAAATCACTCAGATGTATATTTCTATGTTTGCTGATTTTATTTTGGGCTCATACATTCATTCCCACATGCAAAAAGATTCTTTCCCCTTAGATTATTCCTTGAAAAAAGAGACAATAGTTTTTTTTAATTTCTCCATAGTTTGACTTTTTCCTTCTTGGTTAGAATCACAGTTTTGAGTGGTACATGATTATGATTTGCAGACAATGCTTGCTATAATGAATTGATCTAGTCAACCTTTTTAAGAGAAAAAATTCCGAAATTATTTCTTTTACATAATGATAGTAAATACTCAGTTGAACTCTCTGACAAATGCTTTGATCAATTCAAAGCTTTATCATCCCCCCTCCATGCAACCACCCCTGGCATCTGAAATTTTGAAGATTTCTCTTTTTAAATTCCTACCCTGTGGGGCCAAAATTTTGTTTCAATGTCCTGCCCAAGTGCTGGATTTGATGGTCAATTTTTCTATAAAAGGGGAGATCAGCAACTGTGACTTTCTACACATTGACCAGCAATTTATTTGAGTATTCAAGCTTTGAAACTAAGATCTTGTAGACCTTTCATTCTAAGTTATCCACCTGCGGAAGAGAACTCTTGACCTTTGAACACCTTAAGGTATACCTAATGTTATTGCGACTAACCATTTAACTATTATGGTAGGAACCCATGGTGCACACCACAATAGAAGATGCATTTGACACAGTGCTGCAGTACATGAATGTAACAAGCAGACAGTGCAAGGTAAGCTATTGAAAGCTACGCTTGGTACAAAAATTACCAGTTCCTATCCTTCTCTTTGCTGAGAAAAAGGTAGCCTCAAGGCTTTTGCATTGCACCATAGATCATATAGTTCACGCAGAGGTGTTTAGAACATTCTTATGCTTAGTCAGGGTTAGACAGCTCCGGCTTTCTTTTTCCTCTTTACTTGAATGGAGCCCCATAGGTCAATAGCCCTGATATGTTGACCAGCTAGCTGTAAGCAGCTTTTTCTTTTCAGAGACTATTGAAAACTTTTCTTACCAAAGTTTGGAAAATAAATCCACCAAATATACACTGTATGCTTCTGTTCACGAGAAACTTACATCAAGTTTAACTTCCAATTCAAAATTGGTCATTACCTCCTTTCAAAAAACTGGTCCCATGGTCCTGCCCATGAGCTTGCCATTGGTTGAACATTTTTTTTGCGAGGCACTTCAATTATTCTCCACCCACTGAAACCTCAAATATTGGTGAATCTCTTTTTAGTAATATGTATGTAATCCAAACAGTGCATTCTGATAGCCTTCAAACAGGCCCGCGTCTTAGTGTTTCAGGACGTGCGTTTCTCTGCCCGCGAGAAGATTTGGAACAAGTCGGGGAGAGGTTAGCTGGGGTTTGGCACTAACTATCAGTGCCAGATTCCATGCAGACCTCCCACTGACTTGCATTACTCATGGCCTCATAATTCCCGGCAGGTACCGAAGCGCTGATAACGAGATGATACTTGCAGGTAGCCTACGTGTAGCCGTACAATCCTCCCTTCCGTTTCATCTTGGTGGGGGGAGGGTACGGCTATACTTAGGCTAGCTTGCAATGGTATGCTTTGTCATACATTATTATCACAGACCTCTCGCCTGCTTGCGTTGCTCAAGGTCTCATACTTTCCCGCGGGTGTAGAAATTCTCGTGTAGAAGCGCTGATAACCAGGGCCTGCTCGCTGGCTATGCATTCTGATTGGCTCTCTCGTTTGCTGCATGTTTTACCGTGCATCATGGATGGAAAGGAAAAAATGTATAACACAGGAGATTATAATCTATTGATAACATTCATACTAATACCGTATTTGGTGATGATTAACAGCACCAAGATAGGTTTATATTTGAATTGGATTGGTCTTAACATTCACTTAAGGTGCTTTTTGACATTAGTGTTTCCAACTTCATTTGAAAATCGCCAAAGTCGAGTAGACTATTTATAAAACTAGGATAAAAAAATTATTAGAATGCTTGATCTCGATTGATTGTCGCATAGGAAATGAAAGGCTTAAGAAATCTCAAGTTTTCCCTTCAAACATAACATACTACAAATACGGAAGCTTGTGACCAAAAAAGATTCATCCAAATGATCTTTACAATATAACGTTAAAGTTAACTCTGCTTTGAAATTGCTCAAACGAGAGAGAAAACGAGTGTGTGGGCTGGGATAAGCCATCAACTCTCTTATATGTATTGTGTTTGTTTTTCCTAGCGGTATTTCCGCTGTAGATCAACGGAAGACTGCAATGCTCAGGATGTAAATCACTGCAACAGATTTCATCAACCAGGTTACAACCTAGTCACACGACCACACCCCGTAAGTAAATACATCGTAGCTCTAACGTTTAAGGGTGTTGTGTTAACTAGTATTCTATTTTAGATTTCCTCAATTTTTTCTAAGATATTTATTATTCTTAAGTTACCAATAAACCCGTAAGAAGACTACAACTAGGAATTTTAGTCGCCAAGTTTCGCCCTCGTGAGAATGTCAAGCAAAATGTCGATTATAAATGTCCTTGTGCGTCATGTCTATGGAATTTCATTGGCGAAACCAACAGATCATCTGGCACTAGAAGAAAAGTTAATATCAAAGGTTTGAACGTAACAAAATATGCATGGACTCTGAACTTCATATTTACTGGTAACTCAGACAATGCCACAATCACAGACAAACAAAACAATTGCATTAGAAAGACAATGGAGTGACTCCAATTTTTACTTGCTCCTAAGTCAATGATATTCTCTCTCTTTTTTACAAACGGAAGCTTTAGCACTTTTGGTATATTATTCAGCATTCCTTTCCGGAAGGCAATTTGTTACTCTTAATTTTGTTTTTTTTATTTTACCCTCCCCGTTCAATTTTTCTTCACACTCATTGATCATATATTTTTACCCGTCGAATAAAGTAGAATGACTGTTGAAAGCATACAAGTTCGTGGCATCTTTCAATCAAATAGCATTTTGTCTGTTATGCATTGTGGTAGCGTATATTCGATATATATACCTTTTCTTAATTCTCTTCACCTCAAGCTCCAACGAATGGAAGACGTCCAGGTAGAAGTAGCACCTGGCAGTTATGCAGTTTCCGCTGGCCGCTACGGTGCACCCAGGCAACACACCCATATCGTCCGTTTGGAACCAGGACAGACGGTTGATCTTGGGTTCTCGTTATAGTCCTATATTGGCTTGAAGATGATGTAGTTTATTCACTTTTTTGACAACATAGTTACAACAGGGCTTAAATTACACCGAGCAGGAAAAGATGGCAAAAGGAACCTACACTGTAGACAAGAGTCGTCTTCATCATAGTTGGGATCGTAGAAATCGTGTTTTCACATTTACTGCGACAAACTCAGTCATCCTTTTAAAGCTATTTATACAGATGTAATTATGAAAACTAGTATATTGTAATGGATGGAATATCAACGCTCGTCTGCTCAATAGAAATTAGTATTCTTCTAAATATGATATATTCAAGAGAAGATCTTGACAAAATTAGTTTACTATTGTAGATTTCGAATTCACAACATTGGAAACCTGATGTGAAGTTACTTTCTGCTGAGATAACATTAACAATAAAGCATACCGTAGCATGGTCAACTTTGGTGAACGTTTGGTTTTCTCTCCATAGACGTAATTCGCAGTGCTACGATTGAACATCAGAGAACTTTCCCATTGTTTGATCTGAGTATATTTAAATATATCCTTAGTATTATTATTTTTTTGTTTATTTGTTTAAGTAGTTTGTTTTATAGTGCAAGTAACTAATGATTGAAAAAAGTTTTTTACTCAATAAAGACAAATGATTCTACGATTTGTTTACTTGAAAGGGGTCAATTAAGAACCAAGTTTACGTCCCGCGTGCCTCCCACCCCCCCTAATTAAAGATATAGCGCAACAGAGATACCAAATGAGCGGTAACCGGTCGTTTCGCCTACGAGTCGTTTCGCTAACGACCAGTTCGCAAACGTATCAGGGCAGTTTCCTATCATCTGTTAGTGATTCCATCGGCAGAACTTGATATACTTCCAATCGACTAAATAATCGTTGGGGAGTTTTGTCGTTTCGACACAAACTGAAAGTCGATTCGATGCAATTCGATTCAAGACAAACTGAAGTCGATTCGATACATCGTCAAAGTCAATTTAATACCCTTAGAAATTCGATTTAATGCGACTCAAGTCATTTCTGTACATAGAAAAGGATAAGTTTGGAGGTTTTCACTGATTCGTTGACGGTGCAACAAACCAAAGTATGAAGCGCCGAAAATGAGCGAATCTCACACGCATGCGACTCGCGTAACACGCGATCCGGGAAAAATAATAGCCTTTTCTGAATCGTGTCACTTCAGTTTGTCATGAAATGTAGTCGATCATGAACATGTACTAGCCTTTATTCAATGTATCAGGGTAGGTTGATCTCGAACTCGCTGCGACTTTTACAGTCCATTCTAGGCCGAGTTTTACTCGTATGTTTATGGTACAACATTTCATTTGTCGTTACTTCGAAGAAAAAAAACTAAAAAGAGACGTCAGTGAAATAACTGGAAACGTTATTGAAGTTACCATGAGATGTTTGCGAACTGACCTAAGACGTTGGCGAACTGAAAGCTAGCGAATCAAATTGTGGGCGAAAAGATTGCAATTCAATGATTGAGTTAAATGTTATTCTACAGCTATTCACCTCATCTATATCCTTTCAAAATTTAATGAAAGTTAACGATGTGTTCTCCGACGATTTTCGGTCGGAAAGCTGATTTAAATTACAAATAAATTTCGAAACATCAATATTCATATTTGAGACCAGTCGAGCACGTGGAAAGACCTCACGAGCTACAAGAAATGTCAGCGTCTTTTACAGTTTCTCTGGGGCCAGGAAATACTTCGATATTTCGTTCCAATCCAAACACCTTGGATACCGTCTGTTCTTCCAAGGCGGGACAGTGTTTCTTCGAGGTCGCTGACGGTTTGAATTGGACAAAGAAGAAGGACGGATGGATGTCATTTTGTCACGGCTCTTTCAAGGTAAATAACTTACACATGCATTCATTTTGGATGGAAATATCGTGTTCGTGTTTCTCGTTGTTGCTCCAGTGAAATTAATTCTTAGACCTAAGACCTAAAAGGAAGAGCATGTCATTCACAATTCAGAGTGAGACAAATCTTCGGTAGTAGCCGCCATGACAGTTCTGACAGATGAACCACGTGACTTTTGGAGCAGGAGCGAGAAATGTGAGGATGTATTGATCGCTTAATGACCCATTTATTTTTAATTCTTTACTTATTATTCGAACAAAGTTTATTTTACTGTAGTATTTCAACGTTAAATTTGTTTGAACACTCCAGTTATTTTACCTACTTCCAATCTCCGCCAGAAAAAAAGGTTGAGTTGCTTATATTTTTTTTAATTAGAATCCATTATCTGTATCGATGAATCAATGACTCAATCGATTTATAAACGTCATGACGTGGAATGAGATTGCCCTTACATCCGAGCCAGAGGCTCATTTGTAAAATGCATGACAACACCAGTATGGATATCAGATCATGTGACCTTGATTACGATACCTGACTCTCTCATGCGATCAGTGGCTCTCTCCTCCCGAGAGTGCGACTTGCTACCGGTGACTTGTCAGAAATAACTGATAAAATACTTGCGGGTAGCATATTATGAACCAGTATCCCATATGGAAATTTTGAACGTGCTTGCATATCATTGTTATAATCTGGTAGTTTTTATGGGCACCTCTGTGAAGAGTTTTCCCAGAAAAATATCTTCCTCCTGTTGACACCCATTGTCGATATCAGATAAAGGGGATCCGACTAAGTTTTTCTTTCAAACATTCCTTTTACTTTTAGAGAGCACTTACCTTGGGATGGGTGTGCATATATTCTTATGACATTTCTCTTTATACTCCTTAGGACAGCGTCATGGGATGGAAAAAAAATCTTGCAATCAAGTACTATAAGGAAGGAAAGAGAAAAGAATGATTTCCAACAAGGTTAGCTATTTCAGTAGTTTTTCGCTGATTTACCTTAGCCAGGCTTCCAACATGTAAGTCTGGCTGTAACCAATTTTGTAATCTGAAGCTAACCAAGGTCAAAAATTATAGAAACTACAAACAAAGCAGTAAAAATATTTCTTCAGTCAGTGACTTCCTCGATCTCTGTCTGCTATGGTTTACAGCTCTATTCCTTTGATGAAGCACACACATATAAACACACACAGTCTCACCAAATTACCATGGCAACGATTTAGCCGCCCAAATACCCAAGTATTTTTAAGGTTGAGTGTCAAGAGTCAAAGTGAGCCTGGAGATCCTTGTTTATTGTAAAGGAGCATTTACCGAGAAATTTGAAATTTCCTGTTATACCATCGTTCAATATATCAGGGACGATTGATTGTCAATCGAAAAGATGATGGATCTGATGAGTCTTGTGATCCCGAGAATGATCCTCATCATTCATGCTGAATGAAAAGTACTTATAATGGTAATAGGATCGAGTCGAGTCCAATTCGGTCTGTAATCATACGAGTGATCAACAAAATTGGACGACCACGAAGCGGGAGTCTGATTTGTCAATTAGGAGTATGATTACAGACAGAATTGGACGGCACGAAGTACTGTTACCAATTAATCGTAACTGTTATAATTTACGAAAACAACAAATACATTTAGGACAAATATGTGCAGTGGAAACAACGTCTAAGTAAAAAATTCCTTAACTTTGAAAAATTCTACAATTTTTTAGGATAAGTGGTTGTTGCTATGGTTATTGTGATCAATTCTGTGATTGGTGGATTTGACTGAAAGGACCAAGTATGATTGGCTGCTTCAACTGTCCGATTACAGCCAACTGTCAAATTACATTGTCCAATAACAACTCTACAGACTGATTAGTGAAAAGTAAAGCAGCTAATGTACCAATCACATTTGAGGAAACTGTAGTGGTTATGATTAACCCTGAAATAGGTGTGCACATTTTCACAATATAAATTTCACTAACTTCTCTCATCAGCACAGCGTCAGGCGTAGAATGGGGTTATCACTAAATGGAGGAATTCAAGAGAGGAAAGGAGTACATGAAAACCTTTAAGACGGTAAGTTATTACATTTTGTTTGTTTATAAAAATTAGCTCTTTGCACTTGTGAGTGTGGTCTGCTGATCTGTAATGAACGCTTCAACCTGGATGTAACGAATTTCTGCTATTCAAAATTCAGTATTCAGAGTTAAAAATTTAGGAAAGCTTTAAACAAAGAAATGATTTTGTTTTCTTTAACGTTTTATTTCCGTTGAATCTCTCCTTGATTATGGCGATTTTCAGTCGTTTACAGCACTGTTAGGTTGATGAATCAATACTACCACGTTGTTTCTGTTGAACGTAAAACAATGGAGTATAATATTTATGATAAAATTTTGTTTTTGTTGTGCAAACGATCATCATGCGTGGCCTAATTATCAAATGTCTCATCTCTTGATGTTCAAACTGAATTGAATACGTTTCAAAGTCGATGTTTTTTTAAACATTTGTCTAGAATTATTTTTAAATCCTTGAAAAGTTTGATGGTGTTATGATTTCCCTTTCAAAATTAAATCTTATGCACTTCATCCAGTAAAAACCTTGCGGCCTAATTGTCTAATGTCTTGAAGCTAATATCAAATTCAAGCTCCAAAAAGTGTTATTTCTCAAAATTTTTCTTGAATTCTTCTTCAAACCTCTGATAATTTTAGTAGCTTGGTAAAGTTTTTTTGACAAAATTAGAATATTCTCTCCTCATTCAATGAAACTTTTAGAGCCCAACTGAAAATTTTTTTTGCTGTTGAAGCTAAAGACCAAATTTATGTAGCACACCCCCAAAAAAGATGGCTTTTTTCTCGAATAGCTACGAAATTTAATCAGTAACTGATGTTGACCTTGATATACTGAAAAGATCTTGAAGGTTAAATGTTTACTGTCTCAGCCCTTGAGACTAAAACCAACTTCAAAGAGTACTCGCAAAAGATGTCTTATGAGACGTTTTGGTATGTGGTACTACTGAGTATTTTTACGAGTTGTGCCGTATTTGAGCGTAAAGGGCGACTCAAAACACAAACAACGAGTAAAAATGCTCAATGATACTACACACCAAAACCTCTAAAAAGTTATTTTTCATCAACTTCTTTATTTCATGCGCATTTTTAAAAAATTGGGAAAAACGAAGTGTACCGCGCGCAGCCGACCGGTCAAACAGGTTTTTTTTTCCTTACATAATGTACGGAATAACCAACTGAACAATATCGCAGGATATTTGTACTCGATTCGTGCGTTCTTTGTAATCTACTAAGGGCAGGTGCATCATAAAAAATATACAGTACTTTTCTATAAAATACTTTTTGAGATTATCATTAAGCGGTAGAGAATTTTTCTGTATACTTAAATTGAAATTTTGAAGCCCAATTGTTAAATGTCTTGGCTCTAGATGCTAACACCAATTTTAAAGCTTGCGCCTCAAAAATTAAGCATTCTTAAACAATTCAAAGATTTCATTTTATAAATCTAAGGGAAGATTTTGATTTTCAGTTGAGAACATTATTGCAACATAGTTTGTTCTTCTGGCAAACACCAAAATACAACAACGGATGTTCCTATTGATATAGGCGTGGCTGGGTTTGGAAATTCAACTTCAATCTTGGTCACAATTATTCTGTGGTTTTCAAACTACTCTCTCTTGGTACATCGTAGAGACCCATTATGAAAGTCGAAATAAAGAAAAACTGATTGAATAGAGAAGTATAAAGTACTTACCCGATGAAGCACCTCAGCGTTTATTTA